TAAGGCACTTGAACTTAACAGCTCAATAGCATTTCAAATATCAATACATGAAAACACATCATGCATATAAACCATCCTTCCATGAGGTATAGTGGAACCAACAATGGCAAAACTGAGGACACGAAACCTTACCTCTTAAGCAATCAATCCAAGCCAAAGTCCACACTAGCTCAAGGTCGACAAATAGCACAATCACAATCTATTTAGACTAGCAATCATATCAATATTTATAATCTACGAGTTTATGACACAATGACAACGTTCTCTTTATCGTTTCATGCCATTAGGCTTCTCTCAAAGCCATAAGCCCTTAATCCAATTGATTTTGACTTAGTTCAATTATTACAGAGGTTCAACTTAACCAATCTAGGGTCCGTAAACGCAATAATCAGTTCAGTATGAACAGAACAGTAACTGTCTCGAAATTCTCAGAATATCCGGATATATGTCGGGCCATATCTGGATATCCATATCTGGATATCTCCAACCCCATATCCGGATAGCAATATCCGGATATCATATCCGAATATTTCGCGACAGAATGCAGTTTCTGCATTTCTCGAGATATCCCTTCCAAGGTTTCGTTTTTAAAACTTTTAAACGTTAAAGTATGCATCTTTAAGCACATTTAGGTCAGTGCTCATGCTAACTAGTTAATCCTACCATTTTACATGCCAAGACTTCACTTTTATCAAAGGAAAACTCATGACAAGTGATGGTGCTTACCAACCAAGCTTAAAACAGAGGTAAGGGTGCTCTTGGAGCTCTCTATGAATCTCCACAAGTCTGACTTCAAAGGTTCACAAACATGGCACACAAAGTTTGGTCCTTTCACACTATAGATGGCTCCTTGAAGCTCAAAATGCCAAGAATATGACCCCCACAACCCAAACTCAGAACTCAACCCCCAAAGCCTCTCAAACTCAGAAGCTAAACTCATAAATGGAGCACATTTCAATCACTCAAGGCTTAAACACACTCGTATGAAGCTTTTGTGAAGAAATCAAGAGGAAAGGTGACCTCTTGAAGAGGGAGGAAGGGTGGCAAGGTGGCTGAACCCATGCTTCAGAAATGACTCACGTAGGAGGTTGAAATATGGCCTAGGGTTATGTGCACTAAGCATTTATACCCTCATTACGTTTAATCACACTGTATTAGCACTAATAGCTACGCTTATTATTTTAATCCCAAACTTTGGATTCTGAACCAAGCCATTTTTCTAGGATTTTTCATATTTTTATTTTATTTTTCGCAGAACTTTGCCGGTACGCGCTTTTAAGTGGCCGATATCAGTTTTGATGCCAGTTCTCATTATTTTGACTCCAAACTTGTTATACTAGTCCTAGATATTTTTCTAGTTATATATACATACTTTTCATGATTTTTCGAGATACTTCATCGATACACATTTATATCGCGAGGCAGAATCGGTATCTGCACTTTTCGTCAGAAAACAAGTTTCAACATTATTCATCACTTACTATAATTATTTAAGCTTTCTCATAATTATTAGGGTCAATTATGGAATTATTTCCTAAATTCATATTTAAATTAATTTAAATTCCTAAATTAACGGTGCGGCTTCTTACAAAAACAATCCATTAAAATTCTTTGAAATTCCAATCAAATACACCCGCATTAAACTTCTTGAATCAATGGTTGGGCCATATACAATGAACCAACTGTAAGTGCATCATTATCCTCTACTAGGAAAAGATTCGTACTCGAATCTGCTTCATATTCACCGATATCAATTTCTTTAGACGAAATCTCAAGTGATAAATCTTCCTCTATTAGATCTTCATAATCTAATTCTCCATCAGATTTATCATAGACTGGATTATCATCATAAACTAAATCTTCATCATAAGATGGATAATCACCATAAATCGAATAATCATCATAAACTATACTATGATCGTAGATATCAAAGCGAGGAATGTTGATTTGCATCTCAATATCTTGAAAAGCGAACTGAATTCCAAGTCATATTTTCCAATTATGTCCCTGGTTTAGAATCCCCAAAGGATTGACGTCCTATTCTTCGTCATCAGATGCGTCCTCTAATTCCATTCCTTCTTCGGATTGAATGCACAAATTTGTCCACGTAAGTCGCTGCTCCAAATGTTGGATTCTCATGCTCTGCGCCTCCACAAGTTGTCTCTTCAAAATTTGAATTTTATCGGTATGTGCTCTCACGAGCTGTCGCTCCAAATCTTGAATTTTTCTGCTCTGTGTTCGCACAAGCAATGTCTACAAAAATTAGATTTTCATGCTCTGCACCTCGACAAGTTTTTGCTTCAAATCTCGGATCCGCTTTTTGAGCTCTTTATTTTCTATGTCACACACGTCTATCTAACGTGATTGTCTGTCTTTTTTTAAGAACGAATCCACGTCGCTTGCCTTCATAACTCCACCATCAATGACCTATATGATTCTGTTCAGCCATTGGTTGTAGGCAACCTAGTGCTCTGATACCAAATGATGCCAAAAGCGCATAGTAAAGGTTGCTAAACAGATAATTAGAATTTCACAAACGAGTAACCCTTTGGTTCTCAATTATAATTATCAAAATAAAAAAATTCAACCGCAGAATAAGGTTCATAAGCACCATTTTATAGACTAATTACAAATTGATCCAAGATTCAAAAATCTAAAATCCTAAAAATAACGAAAATTCCTAACATAAATATATCGGTAACTAACTTCCAAAAATAAATAAATAATTATAATTAAATCATTCTAAACATGTACCAAATCTTAGATCTCAAATCATGTCAAATGTGTTGCTTTTCTTTTCTTGTCAAACAAATCTCAATCATATTTGCTGCTTTATTAGGACATGGATTTGATCGTAATTTGTTATATTTTAAATCACTGTTTCTTTCAACAATTAGGTCATACTTATTGGGCAACAACTCTAGATGATTCTGAACTTCTTGAATCAATGGTTGGGCCATATGCAATGGGTCAACTATAAGTGCATAACAAGTGTTGTATAACTAAAGCAACATGCTCTCTATCAGAATTCTATAACTGAAAACATTTCGATCAGGAAAAAAGAAATCACTTGGAGGATCATTGAAAGTCACAAAATTTTGTGGAGAAATGGCTAAACCAAATCTTGCTAGCCTATCAGCACAAAGATTTGCTCTCTCCAGGCAAAAATTCTGAATGCAAAAACTGCAGCTTTTGGATGATGTCTCTAATGCAGCACACCAAGGAGGAGATGCCACTAACCTTTGTTTTACTTGAGATACGCAATAAGGCTTCTTTTGAATCACAAGCAAGAACCAGATTAGAATATTTAATTTTCTAAGTTAGGAAAATGCCTTGATGACAACCCTATAAGGAGAAGAGCCAAAGCTGTCTTCCAATTGATATAGATTACTGCTGGAAAATTTCAAATCTTGTAAGAAGAGAAGTAATCTAGTGATGGGGATAACGGGCTTGGAAAAATTGTTCTCATGAAGAGATAAATTTCTCCATAGCCAAAGAGACCAACAGGTTACATAAAACATATCTTTCCAAACTAACAATTTCTTAACCTGAAAGCAATTAGTGATATTGTGTCAAAACCAACTTTTTCCTCCAAATTGAAAAAGTCTTAAGGCGCAATATCACCAAACCAGCTCAACCATATCGATTTGGTATATCCAGAGTCACAGGAGGTATGGATAATGGTTTCAACTTGGTTTAGGCAAGAGGGGCAGGATTGCAGACCACTACTCCAATGACAGGTTCTATCACGAACCGAGAGTTTGCAGACCACAACCCACATGAAAACTGTTACTCTATAAGGACCCTTTCATTTCAAATCGAATTCCAGAATCTATCACTACTGTTTGTGAATCCCGTTGAGGTCTCACAGTAAGCGTTCCTGACAAGAGATTGATAGAGGGTGGAATAATCACACTCAATCTCAAAGTAACCTCCTGGTGAAAAAATTGAGAAAGGTATTGTCAATTCCAATCACTTGACAAAAACTTAACTAAGTCACAAACTTTTAGAGTTAGATATGACTCAGATGGTTTTTAATAGCAAGATCGAGCATATTACTCTGCACACCACCCCAAACATTAGTTCAGAAGAAAGTTGTTCTCCCATTGCCAATATCTTATTTTAAGTGTTGAGACATGTTGTGCTAGACCTTGCACGAGTTCTTCAACAATGTTGAATCACTACTTTTCAGTTTTCACTACCACCTCATGGCACTGGTCACACTTTCTGCCATATTTGCTGTATAGGACTTGGACCCAAGGGCTATCCTGGTTATTGATGAAATTCCAAACTATCTTTTACATAAAGGCCTCGGTCTAACCTCTCAAATTAGTGATCCCCAGCCCACCATAGTTCTTAAGAAGACATAGTCTATCCCAAGAAACATATAGTCTAACCCACCATAGTTTTTTGTTTTATTTTAATAAAGTTAACAAAAATATTTGCAATTATTAAATTTGATAGGATATTTTACTTATCTTTTTTTCATGCATACTTGCCTATTCATTTGCAAAATTATTAAATCAAAATCTTAATTAGCTTTTTACTTTTTTCCTCTTCTCTTGAGATTCTGATCTAATCGTGTTGAAAATGAATAGTTAAAAAAAAGATAGATATAATAACTTATCTCCTACTAAAATATTTTTTAAGTTTTGAACTTTTTTACAAAAATTGAAAGCTTCAAAACAAGATATTATGAAAGGAAAAAATATTTACGTTTTTATTTTTTGTATTTCTCTTTAAATTTTAAATAATTAAATTATAATTTAAAAAAAAACAAAAATTTAATATCAATTTAAAATCTATTGTCTACCCTCCAGATTCATCATAAATAATTTTTTTTAATAATTTCACAAAAAAAAAAAGTATTAATAAAATTCTATCCACTTATGGATAACTATTAAATCTTGTTACACAAAAGTAGGAGATTCTAAAAACTGAATTAAGAATCTGTAAGCCTTGTCTTCGTCTGCCACAAGAACACTGAGGGAAAAAAAAAAATGGAAGAAAACAACACCAGTGCAAAGCAAGAAAAGAACATCAGTGATTGGCTTCCCATCACTAAATCTAGGAATGCAAAGTGGTGGTATTCAACTTTTCACAATGTCACTGCTGTGGTTGGAGCTGGAGTTCTGGGTTTCCCCTACGCTATGTCAGAACTTGGATGGTTTGTTCAACTCCCTCCTCCCTTTCAATTCATCAGATCTTACAAACAAAAAAACACACACACACATATATCATAGTTTATTATTTTGTGTTGGATATGGTATATGGAGTTAATGTCACATTCTTTGTCATGCATGGCAGGGGTCCAGGAATCACAGTTTTGATCCTTTCATGGATTTGCACATTCTACACAGCATGGCAAATGATTGAAATGCATGAGGCCGTGCCGGGAAAGAGGTTTGACAGGTATCATGAATTGGGGCAGCATGCATTTGGGGAAAAGCTTGGACTTTGGATTGTGGTGCCTCAACAACTAATGGTTGAAGTTGGTGTTAATATAGTTTACATGATCACTGGTGGAAAATCTATAAAGAAGATTCATGAGATTCTTTGTCATGATTGTAAGCCCATAAGAACAACCTACTTCATCATGATGTTTGCTTGTGTTCAATTTGTTCTCTCCCATCTCCCTAGTTTCAACTCCATCGCTGGGGTTTCTTTGGCTGCTGCTGTTATGTCCTTGAGGTACGGTATTTATTGTAGTACTTTTATTGATCATCCATGTTAATTATGAGATGCATAAAGAGAGAAACTTTTTGATTAAAAGATAAAATAAAAACCTGAGAGTTATTGGTTTACTGACTACACAACTAGATCCCAGGATTTGACGTGCGGAAAGGATAGTGGATTTGATTCTTAATAGTAGCAATGAAGGGTGAAGAGGCTTAAACCCGAAATATGGATAATCTGGTTCATTAGCACTTTGTACACATGTTGGTATCTTAAAGAAAAAATTGCACCCACACTGAATCGGATTAGTTGCGAAGTAATGAACCGATTGGAATATTTCTAAAAAAAAAAAAAAAAAATTAATATCAATCGAATTTTTGAAGGAACCATGTAAAAAATATCTTTGCTTGTTCTGCAGTTACTCTACAATTGCTTGGATAGCTTCGGTTCACAGAGGGGTTCAACCAGACGTGAGATATGATAGAAGATATTCAAGTACTACAGGAAATGTGTTTGGCTTCTTTAGTGCTTTGGGAGATGTAGCTTTTGGGTATGCAGGGCACAATGTGATTTTGGAGATCCAAGCTACCATCCCTTCAACACCTGAAAAGCCCTCCAAAGGAGCCATGTGGAAGGGCATGATTATTGCTTATATCATAGTGGCTTTGTGTTATTTTCCTATTTCCATCTTTGGTTATTGGGCTTTTGGAAACTCTGTTGATGACAACATCCTTTTGTCACTTGAGAAACCCCGCTGGCTCATTACAGCTGCTAATATATTTGTTGTTGTTCATGTTACTGGAAGTTATCAGGTACATTAATTTTTTTTTTTGTATGCTGTGAAAAATTATTTATGCTTTATAATCTAATTAGTTTTCTTGTTAGGTCTTTGCTGTTCCAGTGTTTGATATGTTGGAATTATTCCTTGTGAAAAGGATGAATTTCAAGCCAAGTTGGTTCCTTCGATTCATAACTCGTAATTTATATGTTTGTGAGTGTGCTTTTCTCTCTCATACTTAATTTTCATTTCTTGCACTTAATTCCACGTATAAACAGAATTTATCCAACAAGTTGCAAATTTATTTATATGCAGCACTTACGTTGTTCCTTGGAGTTTCATTTCCTTTCTTTGGTGGGCTTCTTGGCTTCTTTGGGGGATTTGTCTTTGCTCCAACCACATACTTTGTAAGGAAATTTTAATCTCCAATAACTTTTTACAACATAAAAGAAAATGTTAATATTGATCAATTTCATGATCTTTTGCAGCTCCCTTGCATAATGTGGCTTCTCATCCACAAACCAAAGAGATTTAGCATTTCTTGGTGGGCAAATTGGGTATGTACACCAAAAATATTCTCCACACTCATATATAATACTTTTGTTTAAATTGAAAGTTATATTTACAAATTTTTTTATTTACAAACTCTTACAATCTCAACTATGTACTCCGGAAGGTACACATGTGAGTAGGGGTGTAAATGGGCTGGGCTGGGCTGGGCTTTGGCCATCCTGGCCCAAGCCTACGTCAAAAAAAATTCAGCCTATCTGGCCTACTGGCCTATTAAAGGCTTTATTTGTAGGCCAAGCCCGGCCCATTATAAAAAATAAGAAAGCCTGACATGGCCTACAGGCCTTGTAGGCCTCCCACTATATATACTAAGCAAAAAAAAATAATTGTATAGAGCAAAGAAAGTTCCATTCATGCATGCACTAGTACTTCTCATAAGAAAAAAATGACAAACAAGAAAGAGTCAACATAATACCTCAGCTCTAGAATGTATATCATAGAGGAATAGAGTCAAAGAAATGGGAAAAATAAAAAAAATACAATTAGTGGATGCTGAAACAAAGTCTACAAGAGAATGTCATTCATCTAAAAATCTTTAAACCACCATCAAGACAAGGGAAAGAAGAGCATTATTGAAAGATCTTCATCAGTAACATCATAATCCAGCAAGGTACCCATTGCTCCATGGTATTAAGCTGCAACAGCATATAAAATTTGGAGACATTAGACAAGTTTTCCTTTCGTAAAATAAAATAGCACAAAAAGTAAGAGATATTGGTATTTGGTACTTTGTGTCTTTGTCACATAAAATAAATATTATTTTATTATTTTATTTTAATAAATTAAATAGGCCAGCCTACAAGGCCGTAGGCCGGGCTTGACAAAATTGGCCTATGGCCTATTTATTAAAAAAGTCTTTTTATAAGCCTAAGCCTACTCTACTTTTCTGAAAGGCTGGGCCTAGGCTGGGCTTAATGTAGGCTGGGCCGTAGGCTGGGCTGGGCCAGCCTGGCCCATTTACACCCCTACATGTGAGTGAATGTATTCCTCAGAATTTACATAGTTGAGTTTGTAAAAGAAAAAGTTGTAAATATAACATTTCTCTTTGTTTAATATTGATTTATGTTTTTACTGTATAAGAGTTTGATTTTTCTTATCGCTGTTCCAGTTTTGCATCATATTCGGAGTGCTTTTGATGGTTTTAGCTCCTATTGGCGCATTGAGGCAGATCATACTACAAGCTAAGGAATACAAATTTTACTCGTAACTTCCTTTGCACAATGAGGCTGCAAATTCATACTTTGATTTTTCTACGACAACTGGTCATCTATGTCTTTTGTTCCTTGTTTTTTTAGATATTATCATTTGCTCTAGGGAACTTCTTCATTCTGTTGCAGTGTTGCGTTGATTACTTCTTATGATTTGTAATAAGTACTTATGCGAAATCAAATATGTAGATATTCAACTAGGATTTTGCAGTTGTATTGAACAACTCAAAGGATACTCATTTTCATGCATACAACAAGTCAATCAGTAGAATTCGATTGATTGGATTTAATTCATGTTAGGTAACAATCTTTACAAAATAATAATAATTACTATTTTGTAAAAAAATATCTCAATTTTTTTTTAAAAGAACATGTTTTTTTTTTTGTATACCAAGAACATGTTTTTTAACGTCTGAAAGAGTCTGTTTGATTGTGTTCTGATTTTTTTTGTTCTTAAAACTGTTTTGTAAAATAGTTATGGAAATAGTTGTTTTCTATATTTATTTATTTTTGAAAGTTAAAAACCAAAACAGAAAACAAAAACAACTCAGACATGTTCTCTAAATATGATTCTAAAAACAAAAAAAAAAGTTATAGTTTTCAAAACTTTTTTTACAAAACAGGTGCTACCAAACGAGTTTTTTTGTTTTTTTGTTCTGAAAACTAAAAAACTGTTTTTAAAAATAATAATCAAACAGAATCGGGCCTGTTTGATTGTGTTCTAGTTTTTTTGTTCTTAAAACTGTTTTAAAAAATAGTTATGGAAACAGTTGTTTTCTATATTTTTTTCTTTTTGAAAGTTAAAAACCAAAACAGAAAACAAAAACAACTCAGACATGTTCCCAAAATTTGATTCTAAAAACAAAAAAACAGTTATAGTTTTCAAAACAGTTTTTACAAAACATGTGCTACCAAACGAGTTTTTTAGTTTTTTTATTCTGAAAACTAAAAAACTATTTTTAAAAACAATAATCAAACACAGCCGAATTCCTAGAACTGTTTTCTATCAGCTGGGCTTTAAACCGGGCCAAATTGGGCACGGGCAGGCGATAGCCCAATATAACGCATGTTGTAATCATGATCAAAAGTCATGCCCCTACGGTCCAATATACTTGATTGCATACTAAAAGACTGGGCCAAAAGAATAGAGCCCATGGGAAGGAGAAATAATGGATTAGACTGAAACGCTTTAAACTCTATAGCAGTTGGTGAAGCACATGTAATTCAACTTAGCACGCTTGAAAGTCGCTATCCACAAGGACTGATCAGTTATCAATTTACCTTGTATTAACAGAGTCCTAGGCTTAAGTTTAATCTTGAACAACCATGTGTGTATCTAAGGGATAAGACAGTTCACTTGATGATATCCAAGATTATGAAAATAATAACAAAATTGTGGAGATTCCGTATTAAATATAAACTACAGTGCAGCTTAAGGAAATATAGAGTTGTTACTGAAGATTAGTCCATTAAGTTAGCCATGTATACATTAGCTACTAAGTTCGACAAATAAAATCTAAACCACAAACTATTTTTAGTTTAGTTTCGACGAGCTCGATAAGTCTGGCTTGAAATCGTGCACGGCTGATTCATAGGCCTAAACTTTATTTCATTTTCTAATCCTGTGAATTGTCGTTTAAGACATATATTATCCTTTTTTATTCAAATAATTGAATTCCAACGAAAACTATGGTGTAACTTTTTAGTTGTCATTATACGAATATTAAATTGTTCGAATTTCTTGATCCTTATCAATTTGAATATTTTAAAGATTTAATTAAATTATAAAAGTTGTGTCCAATTTAAATAATCAATAACACCCAAAAGTTAAGAATATTCATAAAATAAATTCTAATATTCTACAACTTTTGACTCTATTTTCTTTCAATTTAATTATAATTTTAAAATAATCAATTTCATAACTTTCTTTTGCATTTAATATAAAACATTTTTTATTTCAAGGATTTATTTTAATATATTTCTACAACTAATTTCATTTAAATTTTTATGGGCTGTAAATTTAGTTTTAAGCAGTAATTTCCTTTTGAGCTAAAATGAAGAAACAAAAAACAAAATAGGATAAAGTGAATCATAAAGCTAATCATATTATTTAAATAATTGTTTTTAAGATACTAATTCCATATTTATATAACAACTGCATTTTCAATTATGTCATGAATCGTAAATTTAACATATAATTGTGTGTTTATATTAAAATATATCAATTATTAAAAATATAAAAACTTACTATAAATTTAAAAAAATAAGCAAATTCTTTTAGAAAAATAATAGTTTGAAAGACCAACTTTTGCATTATCTATAAAAAAGTAGAATGATTAATTTTATACCGAGATAAAAACAATAAGGTTGATTGATTTATTTTTATTAATTAATTGATCCTCAACAAATTACAACTATTAGATTTATAAAAATTAAGGATTAAGATTAAATATAAAATTTATTAATGCCCCGTGAAAAATATATATATATAATGTTGAAAATTTAGTTATGCATAAAAAAAAATGAAAATATTATAATCGTTTCGTCACTTCACAATTAGTCAAATTCAGAGTAAGTCTAAGATTAAGACTTTAAATCCTTTCAAAAATAATATTGAAAAAGATCGAACAGGTATTATCATCCTCTGCCAACTTATATATCATCATTTGGTATTTTGCATAATCTAATTATGTGTAAGAATGTGCGTAAGTACATCTTAAATATACAGCTTTATCTGAAAACAAATGCCAGCTAAAATCATTAATATTTAGCTGAAAAATCTACAACAATTTGCAGTAACTCCTGAATGAAAAAAGGGTAGAGATTATACTTTTTTTATTTAGAACAGGAAATAAAAATCTGAATCTGATGCTGGAAAAGTAAAAGTTTACATGCTGTGCTCAGGTGCAGCAACGTGGAGCAATAACCAGACGCCAGAGTTCCAAGATTAATGACTCAATGGCATCCCAAGTGATTCAATACGACCACGTAGACATCTAACTCCTAAGCCATTTGCCCATTTGTCCCACTTCCCATCTCCTATCTCCTCCCATTACATTTTACAGCTTTTTCGTTTTGTCTTTACGGCACAAACAGATGACCACTTAGACGATTAATTAAATTAAACGAATAAATAAAAAAGTACAATCTAGATCTAACAATAAGTAAAGATATAGAAGCAACAGAGTTGTCAGATCGCGCAAATAATAAGTATGACCCACAAAAAACTTTCACTAGCTATTGGGGTGTTACTAACATTGATTACATTGATAAATGGTATTCAGATATTTCATTAGAACACCACTGTTCCAAGCTCAAACTCAAACTCAAACCGGAAAGCCATTTTATCTAAGGATTTAAGGGAACAAAAAAAGTACACATGCATTAATTTACACTCAAGCAAGCCTTAACTTGTGGTTATGTATTCACAATTCTCAACACCAAGGTTGGAGATCAAAACCAAAGAGAGGATTATTAGTATTCTCACGAGCATGGAACGGAACGACATCGTTTAGGAACCCAATCTCAAGCTAAGAGCAGCTTTAACGTCTAATCTCCATGCAAAACCACCACAGTCCATCCTCCACGCATCACAGGGAACCGTTAATGAGTTCCTCTCTCTCCCACACGCGTACTGCACCACCCTCACCCTGCACGTGAACGAAGGGTAAAGAACCACTGTACTCACCTTCATCACAAGTAACACTAGTCCCTCACCCTCGTTCCCCATCATCTCCCCGTACGCACCGTTCGTCCACGTCACCCTCCCGTAACCGTCTGATATGAACCCCGGACACGTGTCACTGCTCATCTTCACCCTCCGTTCCTCGTCCGTACTCCCTAGCCCGTCTCCCTCCACCCACGTGTCCGTCACGCACACCACTGTCACGCACGAATACCTCATCGCTGGCTGATCCATCGCACCGCAGTACCAATAGGGTTCCACCTTCGCAGTGCTTCGATTCTCGAAACTCAGCCACACCGGCATGTTTTTGTTATTGTTGTTTTGCACTTCCTCTCCTGCAGATAGGGTTAGATCTCTCACCGGAGGATCCTTCGGATCGGGAGTTTCCGGAATCAACGGGAGAGTCACCACCGGCACCGGAGTCTTCCTCCGCCGTATCCTTCGTTTGCCGGTGGTGTTGTTTTCTCTGACGTACTTTCTCTTAGTTCGGCCGTTTTTGGAGAAAGCGTCGCTGCTCTCCGACGAAGAACCGTCGGAAGAGGCGCCTCCGGCTACCGGTTTCGGCGCGATGGGACGAAACCTAAGCATTATTCTGTCCATCGTGGACATATGGCATGTACCGGTTGCATATCTAGCGATGCAACACTCACCTCTTCCGTCCATCCTCTCTCTCTCTCTCTCTCTAAACGCACCGTTTTGCTTTCACTTGTTTTGTGGTAGAGGCAAAGTATTATGTGGATCAGTGGAAACAAACATTAGAGAGCAAATTAATGCAGACAGCGAGGGTAGAGACACGAGGGTTGGTTTTATAGGAACTGTGAGAAGGACACGTGTGAGATAGAGGAGAGAGGGGAAGAGTATTGGTTGGGAAGGGAAACGTGGCGTTATATGGGAGAGATTGAGTGAGAGAACCAATAGGAGAAGGAGTAGTGCACAGTAATAGCGGCAGAAGAGGGGCACGTAGTAGGCTGCTAGCTTCGAGCATTGTGAACTGTGATTGTGATACTTTGACCGTTGGATGGATTGGGATTCCAGATCATGGTTCCACGTGTGCCGATTCGATTATGGCACAAATCTAAGTTAAATTTTGTTCCCCTTTCGCATACTGCTATGGAAGCGCCTTAGCAAACACTGCTTTTCTACTGAAACCTCTTTTGTGAAAATGAAAGAATGGTAAAAGGAAACGATATATGCTAAACGTTTATGCGTTCAAACGGTCGACGATGATTGGTCACGGTCCATGACGATATAAAAGTCGGTTCTTAAATATAAGAGAAAACCCTTTCAAATTTGAAGTATGAATAAGCAGTATTACAAAATTTTAAAACATTATGGATTATTTCTTTTAAAAAAGTACCACTTAATCTTTTTAAAAATTTAAATTTTATAGCGAATATCATCGAATTACAAAAATCACATACTTATACAAGTTACAGATTAAATGCTAAATATTAAAAACTCATGAAAGTCAAATATTTTTGTTATTTAATCTATACCTTTTCTTACATTATCATAATTTAAGAAAATATGATAATAAATTATTTATATATATAAGAGAATGTTATACTTATAAATTTTTATTTACAAACTATATTATGTCTGACCGATAAAAGACTCTTGAATAAAGTCTGATCGGTCTGACATAGTGTAATTTGTAAATTTGTAAAAAAAAATTATCAATATAACCCTTTTCTTATATATATATATATATATATATATATATATATATATATATATATATATATATATATCAACATAAATTTTATAACTAGTATTAATCATCGATGCTACCTGCATCTTAATTATAACTCATATGAGCAATAAAGATTGCAAAAAATTGATAAACCATTCATTATTATACTACAAATTAAGAATAACTTTGCCAAATAAGTAGATTTGTTATTTTAAGAGATGTGAAACAGGGAGATCATGCATACAACGTCATGTAAAAGTCTTCAACATGAAACTAGATCAAATAAATGAGATTTTAAAAAGGGAAATAGTTTGAGAAATTATATGTATACAAGTTTATTATTATGGATTGAGTGTTTTTCATGCAATTATAAAATTTTTATAATACATTATTTATTTTATTTTATTCCTAAAACATTCTACAATTCACCATTTGTAAAAATTGATGACACTGTCTTGTTTTATTTAATAAGCACTAAACACAACATAAAACAATTAGCTCTATAAATTACATAGAAGAAATGAAGACGGTAATAAGGTAATTGCAAGATAAAAACATCATATTTGATAGCGTTGGCAAAACGGGCCAACCGACTTGACTCGGCCCAACTCGCGTGTAACCCAAAAAAAACGAGTCGGGTTAGGGTTGGCTCGAAAAATAAAACAAGCCAGAAAATCCAACCCAACCCAACCAAAGTCGAGTTAGGGTTGGTTCGCGGGTTGGCTCAAAAATATGGCGAGTTGACTTGAAAATCGGCTCACGGGTTGACTCGTTTTTCTCCTATTTAAAAGAACCTGTAGTATTAATGCACCAGCTATGTGGCTTCCATCAGCTTAAATAAAGGGTTACAGAATGAGAAGTAAATGCAAAATGTTCTAGTTTTGAATTTTCTTCATAATAAATTTGCATCAACATCGAGAAACAATCAAAACTCCTTGCTACCAAGTGGGAAAGATATTGAAGCAAACAAAGCTAACACAACTTAATAATATAAAAATGGAAACGATGTGAGAAGATTAGGGACTTAGGTTTAGAGAAGGAAGAAATACGATGACAACATGTGTGGGTTTTGTCCATTTTGTATATTATAATTTGTATTTTTTATAAAAAAAAAAAAAAAAAAAACTCAACCCGTGGATTGGCTCATTTTTCCCCGAGCTGGCTCGGGTTGGCAGCTCATTTTTTCCAACCTAACCCGACTCGTTTTTTACGGGTTACGAGCCAACCCGACAAGTTGGCTCATTTTTGCCAACCTTAATATTTGATAGGTAGTAACCCTAAAAGCTAAAGCTTGTTCCGCTACACAAGCAATTCTTCTCTATCTCTCCATTTCATTCATTAATTTGATTACCGATAGCATTTACCAAACATGTGATTGACACCCTATGTAGAGGTGTTTATGGAGCGGTTCATAATCGGTTTTGATAAAAATCGAATCGAACCAATTTTAAAGGATTTGGTTTTCAAACCGAACCGGTTTACATTTTTTAAAACCAGTTTTTAATTTTCAAAAATCGATTTATCGTTCATAACGGGTTTTGATTTAAAACCAATTTTAAACTGGTTTTAATTCAAAATCGGTTATGAATCATAAATCATCTATCACGTTCAAAACCGGCTGCACAACAAATTCAAATTTGGTTTTTGATGTATTATGCTATTTTTATAAGCAGTCGTTTCTTTCACCTACCTGGTTGTAGATAGTTGGTCAACTATTTCTTGCAAGAATTTTTATTATTTTGGAACTCTACGGACGAAATGATTCTTACAGATATTGTTTCACGTTGTTTTGAGAGTGATTTGTAAAAGAACAGTTAAATTATTTTAAACTATAAAAAAAATTGCTCCTCGTTCTCTCAAGATTTATGTTACTAAGAGTTTCATTTGAACTGATTGAGGAAAGTATAGGAGCAGCGTATGGCACCGCAAAGAGTGGCGTGGGTGTGGCTTCTATGTGGCTTCAGATCAGTGAAGAAAGGCAGCTGAAGCAGAAGCATCTATGATTTTTCCAGGAAATAATGGGAAATTTGTGCAGAGAAACAATTCACTTGATAGCAGCATCAATTCTATCACTGGCAAAATGATGAATTCACCTTATTTAGAAGACACGTACGATGACTCACCAAAAAAGAAAAAAACAAACATGTTGAAGAAGATTGGAGTTTTATAGAAAAAGAACCATCGATAAGCACATATGGCCCACGTATTTTATCATTGCATAAACCTGTTAGCCAAAATGAATTTACGTATTTGTTCTTTAATTGTAGAGCAGTTTGGTTACGGATAACCAATGATAACCAATTATTTTTATGGTTTGAAAAATAACCCGTTTATAAAATAAAATGCAGTTTCATATGAAACTGATTTTTAAAAATAAACGATTTTTAAAATATGGAGCAGTGTGGTCGTGGATCGGTCTGGTTCTTTTTAACATTTTGAACACCCCCAACCCTACGTCTCTCCACTCCACTTGACTTATGTTCAATTAGGAGGATCAAACAATAAGAGGCACAAAGTGAACAGAAAAGTTTCGACCACTAAAGCTTTTTTGTCCATAGGCTAGAATACAATAGAATCCAATTGTCAAACATGATTCGTCAGGTTTTATGTAAACTGGAGAGTCAACGATTTCAACAAAAATGGGTCGGTTCACATTTGTTCTTTAACAAATGTGATTCATTGTATTACCCAAATCGATTACCCGATCAATTTATTGATTTTCTAATTGAATCGATCGGGTTTCTTCTACCAAAGAACGTGAGATTACCACTAGAGGTGTTGGGGCCTTTGGCCCACCTCGTGAAGGCCTGGGCTTACATGTTATTAGCGGAAAAAAATATTATGCATTTCATGTGTACATAATGATAGGATTATAATAGTTGTTAGTATTATAATAGTTGTTAGCATAATTAGTATGCATTGTCATCATATTATCAACACAGGATTAGAATCAGGTTCCAATATAATTAGTATGTTAATATTCTGCATTAAATAGCATTAGTTGTTAGGATAAATTCAAAATTCAAATTGTAAGTCTTTCTATTGTATTCCTTTTGTATTTAAGAGCCATGTTGGCACAACAATGAAATGGGATGTATTCTTGTCAATTTTATTATGGTATCAGAGCATTGATCTAAAAGATCGCTTCCTGATAAGCACGCATAATGAAAGGCAAGTATAACAGAAATTGATATTTCCAAAACGCAGTACATACAATGCAAAGTGACACTAAAAAGGAACAAAAAGTCAACAACGCAGTATTGTTCTTTGCGCTTACACCATAGGTGATACAATAACTCCTAGACCTGGTTGAATCATCGTCATCAAACCCAGATCAACTCTCTGGTAAGAATTCAAGCTCACATTTATGGCTGGTAGACAACGGTGCTTCAAAGCAGATAATCAGCAACCTCAAACTTTTAAGTGACATTAAAGCAGTGCAGTATGCGCGTGTCAAATTGCTCGATAGACGATTCACTTATGTTGTCCAACAAGGAACGGTTACACTAATGCCTTAACTAGTCATTACTAATGTCTTATATGTACCTAATTAATGTTGCAACTTGCTTTCGGTTGCTCAGTTGATTGGGACAAAAAATAAACGTGTTATCTTTACTGATAATGAATGTATATTGCAGGACCAACTTTCAGGGATGCAGATTGACTTGGGTAGGCAGCAAGACGAAGTGTATGTGTGTAGCACAATGCAGGACATCACACAGAGTGCAGTGGATGCTGTTAGTAATACAAAATCTTTGGAAATATGGCATCAACGCCTGGTTCGTCCTTCTTGTAAAAGTCTGTCTTCACTTTCTTTTATTTCAATGACTGGTAATAAAAATAAATCTGATATAGTATGTGATGTGTGCTTCCCAGCAAAACAGACGCGAAGTCCATTTCCTATGAGCACTCACAAAAGTGTAGCATATTTTGACTTAATTCAAATGGATGTTTGGGGTCTTATAAAACATCATATTCTATTGTGCACACATTTTTTTTATTATTGATGATTGTAGTAAATCTGTTTTGGATGTTTTTGATGTCAGAAAAAAATGAATCTATCAACAAA